TTCCCTTTAAATACCAAGCAATCAGTAAAATACAATCAATAAAAAACACTCAGAATTTTAGAGGATCAGTTAAAGACAATATTAGTACGCTGCTATAAGCCTTTTACTTAAAATAATTAGTGTTAAAGTATTTCTCCAGTTATGATCAAATAATATCTTAAACAAAAGAACTTATACAATAAAAATGTTGTACACAGTACATAGTTTCTACATTATCTTAAAATGAATCACTCAGAAGACATACTCAAAGATGCGCAAGTTTACTTTTTATAGGTATGCCAGTTTTTTGCTGTTGCTTTCAGAGATACTGTTGACGGTATGCAAAAGTTTTCCTGAAGCCTTAATGATGAATTTGTACTATTATGAATAATTTTGTTATCAAACACAAGATTAGTATTCCAATGAAGCAGAAAAGAATGAGATCTAAATGAAAACAATTATGTAATAAAAATTGCATGTAAAAGTTGTGAGGGACTTAATTTCAAGCAAACATTGTTGCTTCTTATTGAAAATACGTCTCCCCCTCTTATTTAGAGGTTCCTCTGAAATAGTACCTAAATCATATGATAACAAATCACAGTTGTATACATTAACAGGTCAAAATTAAGGGCCTGGTTCATTTAAAAAACGATTGTCTATATTGTATGATTAAAGGTGGTTTTTCCTTAAAAAATTCTTTTCAGATATTTAAGAAAAGTATACTTTCTTTGACTCAGAGACCCAAAGATACAAGGCCAAGTTTTGAAATTGGCTATTTAAATAAAATTCTAAATATTGACTTTTACACCTGCAAAATAATCTGCTGCCTTCACCAACCACATATACACAAATCTACTGGAAATACTGTGTCCAATGTGAAAAGAATCACTTCTGGAATTGCAGGGAAAATCCTGGGAAGAGCAATAATATGAGTCCAGGATTTTTCTTCATGCATCAGAAGACAAATAAATTGAGAGTCTTAGAAAAACATAAGAAACAACTCCTCTGTTTGCCTTTCAAAACAAACTTGTGGAGTACTGCAGCCTTTTGGTTTGTTGTTTCAATTAAGCAAACAAAACCTGTTTATTTAAAGGTCATTAAAAAAAAATAGAGAAGCTAGAGCTAGAGCTTTTTTTTTTTTTTTTTTTAAATGAAGCTTTTATGAAGCTATGTTTTTATCCACAGAGGACTGCCCCTGTGAAGTCAGCCTATTATAGAAGACTGAGTCTAATCTGAATACAGATTGGAAAAATCTTTTTTAAGGTCTACTCTTAGTAATAAAGAATATATTTTATATTTAAAAACGCTGTTTGACATGAATTTACTATTTTCTGTAACTCCAAGAGAAAAAAAGTCTACATAAAAATGAGGTTGAAACCAAGCGCACGATACCTTAAAGTATTAGTTTTAGAGGGTTTGTGGGTTTCCTAGCCTTGTAATGACTGCTCCCTCAAAATAATGTGCATAACTGCACACAAATCTAAATATGTTAAGGTACAGAAATTACACTAAAAGTACCCAGACAAACCCTTCTGCACTACAGTATCAGATATTAATCATACAATTGTAAGTAGGGTATTTCACTAGTATAGTCTGTGTCTACCAAAACAGCTTTTTCTTGTGTTATTTTAAGAACATTGGTTTTCTGTATTTTAAATTTGGTAGTTTCACTGCAGGGCAAAGGGAGTATTACTTGGGTGCTGTGACCGAGTACAAGCTCTTGAGCTCGCAGGGCTTGGTTTCTTAATGTGATATACCCAAACGTGTTTTATCCTCTTCAGTATCAGAAGTCTACATAGAAGTTAACTCTATCTTCAGTTTGTCTGGGATTTCTGCTAGTTTTAAAATAATTAAAGACTTCATAAATGTATGCTACATGCAAAAAGAGCTCTTCTCTACAGTATATATCTCAATCACCTAAACATATTTTGCTATCCTCTCACATCTTGTTTGAAGAGGAAATTCACAGAGCGCTAAAGCATGATAAAGCTGCCAGATGACCCTGTTCAATTAAACTAAATGTTAATCCCTCTTTAACCGGTTGATAGTTAGCTGTTAATTTTCAAGAACCTTCAATTTAAGTTAAATATGCTAACCTTCAATTCAAATATAGGTTTAAAGGGCTAGAATAAGCATCAGTGCTAAGCAGTGGGGACCCTTGCAGGCCCCCGGCTCTTACTCTAAGGGCATCCTTCCCACCTGCCTCACCCCTCTCTGTGACACTACTTCACTGCGCACTGGAGCTGCGCAACAAAAAAACTCAGCAGGCAGCCGTTTCCCACCTAGCCACGGCATGACACATTTGAGAAGAGTAACAGCTGATGTAAATAATCTTTCAATGACCAACCTGGTAACTGCAAGCCAGTCTCCTTCTCAGCACTGACTCATGTTAGCTGGAGAAGACTTCGGTTCTCCTACCAACTAGTACTTGCTGAATGACTCGAACCAACTGAGTCATCCTGTGTTTCATTGTAATTACATAATGTTTTGCTAACAAGCTTACCCTTCGCCTGCTTCAGACATCTCGAACTGCATACTTCAGTTAAAATCAACTAAAGTACATACGGAAATCCAGACTGTCTTCTGACTCAGTTCAGCCAACAAATTTACTTTTTAAGTTCTCCAAAAGCGTCATTCTCTTCTCAGCAACCATGTACTCACATTTTGGGAAGATGCTCTATATTTTTCTTATGAAAGTAAATTTGAATTAATATTCTGCAAAACAGAATTCATTCTTGCTTAAGGAACATGACTGGCCCTAGCACAACAGGGTGCTCTACAACACAATCTATTTCAATCTATTTAACTCCAGTAGTAACCTTAGCAACATTTTAGTGAAGGGAATGCTTCACTCTTCTGCAATTGAAATTTACTTAAATTTTAAGAAAGAAAAACAAACTGGGCAAGCTAAATTGGCAAACTTGAAATTTCTGTCATATCAATTCCTTGCGTAAGGCGCCTGTACGATTCAGACTACAGATTTAGGTTCTTTCATTTCTTGTCTCCTAGCATGGGGTGGGAGGTGGGGGGGGAGCAGGAGGCCTTAGATACAAGTTCTCTGCCAACCTTCGGCAGTTAGAAAAAATAGCCAACTGTGGAGGCCATTTGAAAGAACGTATAGCCCTCTCATGCAGACTAATAATCCAAAGAGAAAACATAAACCATAGCCTCGGGGTGGGGAGGGGGGGAATCTATTCTTACTCCCTTGTGCTAGCTTCTTCCACTGTTACCACCAATAGGAGTTATTCTTCTCAGCTTTCATAAACAAACAAACAAAAAATCAAATCTGTATGCTCCTAACAGCTACAGTTTACATGCAGCTGGCAGTCACTTGCCCTAATGCAAATTTGCAGTTGCCGGAAAAGTTTGCAGTTTATATTGAGAACCTTGAAAAACAGAGTAAAGCCCCAGTTGTGTCAGTAACCTGACGAGCGATACCTCAGATCACCGGGAGCCAGCTCACAAAGCATCACATCGTTTCACAGGGCTTGCAGCAGGTCTAATCAATAGCGGGTCTACAATGCCTCTAGCAAATGGTGACCTTAGTGCACTGCAGCTCCCTGGGATATAAACACTGAGCCAACTGGATGGAAAGCAGTGATAGTGGGTCCATGAAACAGCAGCAGAATGGGGACCACTACAATTGAATTTCAGGAACAGCACGCTACTTCCATTTCCTAAAGGATACTAGGCATGTCATTTGGAGGACGTAATGTACCTGATTATATAACTTTCCCTCAAATGTTATAATCTTCCTCATTTGCTTACATAAGATACTGAGAGAAGAAGGGCCACAGAGTAGGTACAAAGAGAAGGAAAATGTCTGTAAGCAGAGGGACAAAATAAACAATCATCTCTTCTGAAATTTCCTTGGATCTTCTCATGGACCTCAAAGAATCTATGACACTTCATGACAGCACTCTGCATTTTTGTTTAAAGTATATTATTGACTTTTTCTTAAGCGCCATTAACCAAGAACTTAGTGTCACAATTTTAAAGTTGGCCAGATTCAATAAAAGGTAATGCCACAGTGAGTGGCGGCCTGAGCTTGTTCATGTCCGAGTGGCCCATAAGTTCCTTATATCCTGAAAGGTTATATTGAATATAGTCATGTACAATTAAATTTAGGACATACATTTACTAATGAGCAACAGTCACATCCTCATCAGGAATAAAGTCAAGCGAAGGTATATCAAGGCATGTCAACAGATGTTAAGAAAATGTATTTCCAGTTCTTCCTGGATGAAGCATTCTTCCAAGTAGGTTATTTAAAATTTTAAACAAACAAGGCCCTCAATTTCTTCTCTTATTTAAATGCAAACATTTCTAATGTGTTTAGTTAAATAAACAAATCAGTGTAACCAGACTGTGCATTTTAGTCACAGTGCTAATTTATGAAATTTCTACAGGTTGAAAAAAAAACTATTAACATGTAAAGTGTGGTGTGCCAAACAAAAAATAAAGCTGTGCCAAAGAAAGACTATATTTGCTGACCGTTTTCTTTGTATCCCATCCCTAGGATGACCTCTGGTGCTCTGTAGTAACGAGTCACTACATAAGGCGTCATCATAAAACTAGTTCCTGCAGTTCTGGCCAGTCCAAAGTCAAGAATCTTCAAAGTGCAGTCTGACTTTACTACTATATTACTGGGCTTTAAATCCTTTAAAAAGAAACATCATATATGACTGCTAAGACAAGTACAAGTACTCGATGGTTCACATTTTTAACAGATAATACTGCTAACATTAAAACCCACACATTCAACTAGGCTATTTGTATAAGTGCACTGTCTTTTCCCCTTGTATTAATTCATATGCATTCGGCAAACTGTAATTCCTTTATTGTGTTTCTAGATTTATATAACAATTAAAAAAGGAAAACAAACTAGTGTTACAAGATATGTTAGCAATGTCTGAAATAAACTGAGGTTAGTATGAAAAGTTAGCTCTGAGGAAAGAACGAGAAACTCTTCACTGGAACAATAGTTATTACTACAATGCAGATCACAGGTAAAATGGCAATGACTGAACTCACTTGATGCAATAATCATCACAATATAAAAATTATTAAAATCAATACATGATTGTAAAAAGTAAAAGGTTTCTTTGTTATTTGGGGCTGCATTGCCTCTTGTGAACCAATGCAGGTTCTTCTCTGAACAACAAAAAGGAAATCTATGCTCCCAGAGACAGTTTCCTATTTAGGATTTGGTTTACATACATGATAAATTTTGATGACCAAACCCAAAAAAGTGACCAGTGAAAAACCACCAGAAATTAACCTTTTATCTTTACAATAAGAGCTGAAGATGCCCTGATACAGTTTCAGAGCTTTTTAGTTGGAAACTCTGTAGATGTATTCTCCTCACCTGAATATGTTTCAATTTTCTGCTGCCTCTTTTATCCTCTCCCCCTTGCAGGGAGCCTTACAAAGATCCTAAATTCACATTGACACTCATGGCTTTGCAATGTCTACTTACACAGATGCTACACAGGCATACTCAGTCGCCATCTCAGCAGGATCTTACATACATCTGAATGTCACAGAGCAAACATTATCAGCAACTGCAGAACAACTTTGCATTAAAGTGCTTCACAAAATCATTCATAACAGACAGATCATCAGCTCATAAGCTTGGATCCTTTCTGCCTACAACCTATCAACATTAATTAGACACAAAAAATCAAGATCTCACACAGGATTCTACCATTTGATGCAGGCACCTAATTATTATTGCCTGCCTTTCACTATTTCATAAAGGCTTAAAAGTAACTATCTGCAAGACGTACGTCGTTTCCATTTGTACGGTTTGACACGGTTTTCAGCAAGCCCCTCAGAAAGCTAAGAAAGCTGCACAAAAGACAGAAAGGACTCCACAGGAAAGAGTTCTTGAGCAACAGAACTGTAATTGGTAATTAAAGTCTTGCATACTTCTATGTTCACACACACACACACACACTTCCAAATCACACACACAGAGAACTGGCAGACAACTCTGGCTTAAACGATTCTCAAATGCAAGGAAGAAGTTGAAGTATTATAACACATTTCAGCTAATTCATATGCACATTTCTGTTTCTGCTATAATCGTCCTTATTATCAGCTTTATTTTTGCACATTTCCATTATTTGGAGAGTGTTCACTACAGAATCTCAGATGCATGCTCATAATATTAATCATACTTATCCTCCTCAGAGCTGCAGGATTAACACTGAAAATGTTAAGAGAGCTTCCCTTTACAAGAGGAAAAACACCTATGAGAACAAAAAGCAAGGGCTTACAGAGTACTGTCCATCCTTCATTTCAGAACGTTATGTGCTTGTCATGAAGCCTAGGAACATGTTGGAATACAGAACTCCTGTCCTTGAAAATGCTGGAGGCTAGCACTGACTTAAATTGCATTCCAAATTCATCCAGGAAACCAATACCTCCTATGTTTTAAATAAATCAGAACTCAAAAGCTCCTATAAGAGTGATTAAGTTAATTGGGCTATACAAATATATTCAGAACCTATAGCAGAAGATACAGCATCTAACCTTAAACAGTTAAAATACCAATGCCTAAAAATCAGAGATAATTCATGGCAGACTCCCCCTGAAACAGGCAGGGAGGGAGAGGCATCTCTGGATGCTTAAATGGGCTTCTTCAAAAAAAACTTTTTGAAGAAGTCTCTTCCTATAGAAAGATTTGTTATGATAGGCTTCCACAGTTAGGCATCTTTGTTAAGGATTCAGAATTAGGCAGGAGAAAACAAGGTTTCAGAGCCCCCATGCAAGACTAACAACACTCTCTGTCCTTCAACAAGCCAGTGAGGCACGACTCCACAACTCTGATTAGTCATCCTTCTCAGACTGCAAATGGAAATGAATGCATATTTATCTCTAGACTTGCCAGAGATTCCATCGCCACAAAATGCTTTGAACACCGTAAGGTTCATTTATCAACATCTGTTAAAGTCAGCGTAAAGCTATAGCCAAATCTTTATCAATATCAAATCTTCATTCACTAATGTGGAAGCCAAATATGCACTCTACAACTTCTATGCAAAATGGTCTGAAACGCTTTGAATTTGGTCTCCACCTTGCTCCGTGCCTGTACTTTGCTATGGAGAAAACTCATTTCTACAGCAAGTAGTATCCAACAGTACTTACACAGAACGTGGCAGCTTCAGAAATTCAATAAGCTTTAAAAAAAATTACTGAGATGTTGAGATAAAATAGCTATCTGGAAAGCTGAACAACCTACTTAAAAACTACTGACCAAAAAAAGGCTCAAAACTTAAGAGGAGACTCCAGAAGTACATTAGACCAATACCTAGAATGCTCCACAGTCAGCCACAGTAGCACTGTGTTTAAGGAATATAGTTTCAACAAAGTAATTAGCTTTAGTCATTAAGGACAGTGCTGCTGAACGCCCAGAGTGGTATAAAAAGTTACTATTGCAACCACATACATTCCAGGGTAAATACACCCTTTTTCAAGCACATCCCCCTCTTCGTCAGTTTTTTTTTTTTTTTAATTGTTCCACAGGCAGAATAAATTTTGACACTCCGCACCTTTAAATGTAAAGGCATAACACATATTGCAGGTAAATAATAAAATGATTTTGCTAGAACAGACTGAATCTTCTAACAAAGTCTGAAGACGAGCTGTCAGATAAAAATCTATCATGAGGACACGCAAGTGAAATGTATCTGCCCATGTCCTTCAAAAGCATTCATGCATATATATGTTACTATTTACACAGTAAGTGTATCAGTTACCAATCTCATTATAATAGTTTATCCTTAAACTTTGTATTACTGCACACTACAAAACATTTCAAAAACTTCACCCATATTTACAAAGGCAGGCATTCTACCCTCAAAGCTCCTGTCTGTACTTCTACCCAACAACAACTATCAGAATAGTCACTTCTTTTCTAAAAAAGTACAAACATCTCCACGTGTTCATGTTCAAACTGTTCTTGAAGCAAGTGAACTTCTAGAAGCTCCCTCCTACCGCCACTAAAATCCATAGAGAGAGACACTCTTACCTACTCAAACACGTCCATACAACAGGCAATTTTTCCAATCCAAAAAAAGGCCTAGGAAAATCTGTAACGTTAAAACTTGCATACCTAAGTATTCAAGAGACCAGAAAATGTCAAGTTTCATACAAACTTTATTGTATGAAAACAATTTATTTCAAAACCCTTAAACACATGTATACTAGGACACAAAGGGCTGCATAATATCAGTCATGTACAATATAAAACCACAATTGTGATAAGAAACCCAATTTTGGCTAGCATTCCCAGAATAATGCCAGCAGCCCACTGACCTGTCTCAATGACCACATGCAGACCGGGAAACAGGATGCAATACCTGCCATCAGCTAGTACTTCTGCCTACGCCTCCCTCCCCCAGCAAACACAACCATCGCAGGGTAGATTGCACTCGAGCGGGAAGCACGCCTTCACCTTCCCTCCCTGCGCTCTTCTCTGGTAAGCGGCAGCAGATGAGCGCTGGAGCTGGCTGAGCAAAAGGAAACAGCGTTTGGCTGTTCAAATCGTATTCTCTATTCAAACAATCGTCCCAGTTGCCTTGAGGGAAAAACAGCATGCTGAAAAGGAGTGTGATACTGCCGGATCCAACTTGCAGGCTATGCAACAACCCCCAGTGAGGCAGACTACAGGGCAGGCATCACAACATAACACCTGCTGGAGCGATCGCTATCACCTTTCACGATTTACTTTGCTGTCTACAGTCATCCTTGAGGAAGACCACATGGTACTGACTGAGAGGAAAGTATCATGAATGAGTAAGTTTAATGGTTTTTCTGCCTCCTTTCAGAGATGAAAACTTACAAAAACTCTCTACTAAAAAATTATTGCAGTGAAAAAAACTACTTCGTAAAAATACAATTTTATAGATTCCCAAAATAACAGCAAGGATATTTGAAAAGTTATAACTAGGTAATCTCAAGCAATCTTTACGCTAAATATCTACATCTAAGAGATGCTGAACTTGAATAGGAAACCTTAAATTCAGAACTTCCTGATTGGATTGCAACATACATATGCTATTTAAAAGTAGTAGGCAGTTTTGCCTTTAGGCAATGTGAATGAATGCTTTGTGACACGCAGCTGTATGAAAGTTCCACTTACAGGTCTTTATCATGAACTGTTTATCTTGAGATTTCAGAGATGTATTCATTACTCTGCTAGTAAAAGAGGTGAAGTAAAAGGGGCAGTTCTTTCAAAAGATGGAATTTCAGGTTTGGTTACCAAAACAATAAAGGCAGAGAGACTTTCAGATGGTCTTTCCTGCCATGACTACTATAGATAGATCACTACATAAAATTAGAGGAGGTAATGTAACTCACTGTAAAGATTTTCATTTACTTATTTTGTGCAGATTACTATCAAATCCAGGAATAACATAACATTCAAAAGGTTCATTTCAGACTTACAGTGGAATAAAGTAAATCAAATCATTTCTTTTCAGCACTGTTTGTGCTCCTGTTTCTGCTTTTTTCTGGCTCTTTTAAACACTCAAGATAAAATCAGGTACAGTGCAAAACAAACACAGCAAGCTTACTTACCCTATGGATAATTCCAGCTGAGTGAAGATGTTTAATACCACACAGCATTTGATAAAGAAGATATGACATTCGTTCATGGTCTAGCTCCATCTGAATCACTTGGCAGAGATTTGCATCCATGAGCTCCATCACTATGTAACTTAAACAGCAACAAAAGAAGAATAATCAGACAATACTGACATTTTATGGTATTCTTTCACTTGTTCATCTTTCTTTGTGAGTAATTTTAAAGATAATTCTCAGCTTTAGTTCAAATGAGACTTACACGTCTTGAAATTCTTCCAGAGATTTTTGTGGTGTAAACACATTCAGTAGGCCAATTATCTGTAGGAAGGGGGAGAGGAAATATAATTGCACCACACAAGTGGCAAATTTGCAAAGTCAACATTTCAAAATTGATATCCAACATTCTCATTCAAACCTGCTGATCATCTTCACTGAAGCTCAGAGGTGTCCAGGGGCTCAACCAGGTCTCTAACACACTGAAATAGATGCTAATGATTCTAGGAAAAATATCCTCCACAAGTCACATAATCTAAAGGCACTTTGCGTGCATTAGCAAGACAACCTCCAAAGGCTGAAATACAGAGTAGTCAGTTTGTCTTCCCCCTGCCGCCTACTTTCAGTTTGAAGAGACCTGATACATTTTTCCTCATCTATAATATAGATAGATATGTAATTAAGATGAAAATCAGACAAAACCTGCCTAAGAGATACCACTTTGCCACAGACAGAGGTGAAAGCAACAAATTCATCCAAAGACAGAAACAGATTCTTGCAGCTGCATTAGGATATTTTCCAGTTCCTAAGAATGGATGGGAAATGCAGTAATAGGTCAAACTACGGCTCACCATCAAGATCAGGCAGGCTGGCAACAGTTTATCATCATACAAATTATACTGCTAGGTAAAACTTAGTTCAGCAAATCCAAACATAAACCATCTTTGTCCTAGAGAGTATACAGACTTTTTTCAAGTGGCTGCAAGATAGAATATGTCTTCTGTGACTCTCCTTCCCTAAAAGCCAGAGGTCCCTTCCAACCTAATTTTATCTTGTTGAAAGGGTATTAAGAGTGAAGGTGAGGAAGGACAGCATATTTGCCTGTGAAGGAAGAAAAAGTTAAATACCAACATTCTGTAGTCCAACCCTGAGAAATTTATTACTTTTTCTTTCCGCAATTCCGTGCTTTGCTCTACTTTACAGCTTCTCAAGCCTCACAGTTCCTGCTGTCACATTGCAAGGTTCCTAATTCATTCATCATGCATCAGAAAAAAAAGAAAAATCTGCTGCAGTCTCCTTCCTCCTCCAGGTTTAGCAGATGCAACAGAAAGAAGAGGGTAGGTACCCATCATGGTATTTTCATTTGCCAACTGTCTGTAAAATGTAGCAATGTAACACTGACTCCCTTCCTGAGTTTGAAAAGAGTATTTAAAGATTGAGTGAGTATTAAAATTAGGCAACAACAGTTCTTCTGAAAGATCATTCTGTACTTATCACAGAGATAGGGCCATGCTCTGAACACCTCTTCAACCTACAGAAGAGGTCAACCTCTGAAGTCATTCTGAAGATTTTTACAAAGAATGACCTTCTAGTTAATTCTTTAATATCTAAAGCAGGGTCCTGCACTTACGTTTTTGTGATTAACGCACTTCATTAGAACAAGCTCTCTGTAGGCTCTTTTAGCATGAGTTTGGTTCTGAAACGGCCGGCTTAGCTTCTTGATCGCAACATTTCGTTCAAGGATGGCATCATAAGCTGCACTGCAATTAAAATAAAATTATTACATCTCAGTGTCAGGCTCCTCTAAGCTTTGGCAGTTCCCACCTTTTCCAGATACCATGCATCAAGTCTGCAGATAAACCTAAGTTCCAATATTATTCAACTTACGTTCAGGGAGTATAAAAGCAGAGTATGCTGAGCAATTCAGAATTTAGAAAGGTTTCTAAATTCACCTTACTAAAGATACTGAATTCTTTCCACTCATTGGCACTCAAGAACTGACTGCATTTAAAAAAAAAAAAAAAAGTCAAAACACTTCAAACACGAAAAACCATGTTGATTTTTACGTAAAATCTTTACAATTAAAGAGAGGGAGAAGGAAAGGAGAAAAATAGGCTACACAAACCTCCCATATTTTCAGTTACTATGCAGTATGTTTAATATCCTGGTCATAATGGGAGTATCAATGTCAAAATAAGGCTTTCCTAACAATTTTTTGTTTTAACATCTTGATGCCCCTGGCTTTTATTTGATAAAAGGGAAGAACAAAGTTTAGTTTGTAGACTAATGCCAAGACTCTGATATCATTAAGCAACACAGGCTGTTAACTTTAGTTTCCCTTCTTTTAACTGACTGGACAACTCCCATATACATCACATTTTCAAGACAATAAAGCATAGACTTTGTTTCCTGTAAGAGGGAATACGATAGCTGATTACTGTGAAGATTCAGCAAATATTTGTCAGTTACTAAAGAAGTATCAGTAGGGGAAATACTATTTTACTGTCTGTTATCAAGGACAGTATACAAACTTAATGAAGAACGCCTGCCAGTAAAGGGTCAGCATCTAGTGAACTCTACTAGCTACTTTAAAAAACATGTTTTCTTTATCATATACTGGCTTGTATGATTTTTTTTTTAATCATTCAAATCTCTAGTCACTGGGGAAAAAAAGAAGAAATGGGAACAACATTTACTAGTAATTCTTTAGCTTACATTTTCCACTTGCCGGAATTTCCTTCATCTATCCCTAGAAATGGACTATCTTACGAAAGAGTGGCAAAGAGATGGCCAGGAAAAAAAGCCCACGTAGGACTACAGTATCAGTATTTAAATTTCTACACCCCTAGCATGTAACTGTAGCCTCAGAGTCTGTTTCAGTGTTAGATACAACTGAGCCTTTTGGGCATCTACTTCACATTCCTCCAAATCAAGATGGATCAGTTGGGAAAAAAAAAAAAGGGGAAAAAAACCCACAAGAATTACACCCCATGTCCTCCAGACATGGCATGACTTAACCACATGAGAACTGCAACTCTTTTCAGGATAATCAGAGTGGTTTAAGCTGAAAAGGTTTCAGTTTCACTGAATGACACTAGCAGTAATTACATGGTCAGTTTTCAGATCACAGCTCTGGGAGGGGCAGTAAATCTGGAAAACAGGCAGTAACATAGATCTGGGAATCAGAGGAACAGTGGAAACATTTAAAGCTTTCGCAGTCATTTCTGTAGCAACTAAACAGACTGCAGTTAAAACAACCGTCCTTGTTCTCATTACATTCACACACATGCAGCCAAAATTCATATTCATTTTCCTGCTGCTGCTGCTACTTACAGAATAAGTAATCCTATTGACAGAAGCTATCACTTCAAAAACACCTCTTTCCAGATTACTGGCCTTCAAGTTTTTCATTTGCACTATGCATACTATTTTATTTTTATCCCAGCTAAAACATAAATATGAATTAAAAATCAAATGTACCACAGATTCTCTAAATACTGATCAAGACAAGATCAAAGCACTAAAGAAGTTACAAGGAAAAGTACGAGAAGATTATGCATTTTCCAATATTTCTTTTTTTTAATGTTTCTTTTGCATTTTTTTTTGCCCTTAGTATTTTATGGTTACAATAAATTGGAAGGTCTGCGAGTTCCAGTACTGTCTACATCCTTACCTTGATCATAAAAGTCTCAAAGAAGCTTAAACTAATGTTTATCTCTGGATAACTTAACTGCATAGGGAACAGACCCTACAAGCAGCTCACCGTCACCAATCTTAAGTCAATTGTACACTCTTCAGTCCACATGGCAGAGCTCTTATTCAAAGAGTTGTATTGTCAAGTCCTATTTTCCTGAGCTGTGTCAGGTTTCACCGACAGTCAGCACCACAAATGCCTACTGACTGGTATCAGAGACCAGTTAGATTATGAAACTGGGTGAACCAAGCCACTAACAAACCATTTCAAGAAGTATCATCTACGGAAGAATCATTTCTAAGCATCAAATATATACAGAGAGTATTTGTAGCTTTTGTTTCGCTGCTAGCAGTATGTCTTAGGATTAAGATTAGTTTCTTTATCCAGGTTTCCCCCCTGTTAATTTATGAGACTCATTACATCTGGTTGAATTTGCACAGAAGGGCTTCAGTTGCAAAGCAGGAAGAGACATAGGTCAAAAAGCAACAGCAAGTGACATCGTTGAGGAAAAAGTGGCTAATGGTTACTACTGCTATTTTTCATACAAAAGGTAGTTCTCCAAACTCCTCCTCTGTAACATATAAAAGTCAAGGCACTTAGAAAATTCTATGAAATGAACCTAAAATTACATTTAAACTTCACAGAAACCTTACCATACTATCCCTTGTGCTCCTGATCCTATCGGTTTTAAGTTTTGATATCGCTTTAATACAGTGAAAGTAGAATCCCCAATTTCAACACTGTAGAAATTGTTGTCACGCTTGCTTCTGCTCATGACGGCAACTTAGCTAGCTTACTTCATCCAAATTTTGCTTCTGACCTGCAAAGAAACAAAATTTGAAAAACTACATATATCAGATAAAAGGAAAAATTCTTTACAATAAGTGGAAGACATTTCCCTCAGAAGTCTCATATGCAAATATATGCTATTTTTCCTGTCTGCAGGAATGAGGTGGCACATATCCGAAACTTTTTTTTAATCCTATCTCATTCTAATCTTGTTTTTTTTTTTTTTTATCCAGTCTTTTATCCTAAGATAGGAGTCTATAACGGGAAGAATAATAGAAAAGTAAAATTAAGTGACTGGAGCAAAAATCCTAAATGGCAACGGACTGAAGAAGGGAGGAAGCTATGTCAGTCACAGATGACATAAGAGTACCGTAATTCCTTTTCACATATATGTGCAGCAAGTGAGCAGGGTTTGGACCAGACACTCTCCAGAGGTCCCTTCCAACCTAAATTATTGTATGACTCTGTAAACATGAAAGTGACAAAACATCAGCATGTCCTCGAGCCACCACAAACATAAAAACATTCTCAGTCACAACTCACAGGAATATCTGTCACTGATGAGGAAACACACACCATCAACCAAGGACAGAAAAGGAGAACTGACCTTGTCAGAAATCTCTTAGGCCAGCTCCCATTCTGCCAGACATCCGGGCAATACCTCTGCAATGATGGAACGCTACAGGGGTCACTAAAACGTTAGGTTTCAAGTTCTCTGGGACACAGCCAGTACCACTGCATGCTGATGTCCAACATTTCCTTCAAAATGACTACCCATAATACAACAGTCAATATATCAAGTGATGTAAAAAGTCCAACTAAAAAGTCAAATCCAGCACAATGAAGTAACACAATAGAGCAAGCTGGGTTTTAGGGAGGGATGTTTTCTCTGTTAACCTAGGGAAAACAAAGCTTTCAAGACTCACTAGTTTAACAATGTATCAAAACCAGGAAAGCCTAACAAAGAAATCTGAAAGATGATAAAGTAGTAATCAGAGAAAGATAGGCTGACAGTATGGAAAAAAGGATGTATATTCCACTAAAAACCTCTTATATTAAAAACAAAAATAAAAATAGTATCTTAACAAACATGCTTGTAGAAGAAAAAATTAAAATTGCATAGTGGCTTTTATTTACTATATCACTTCCTGTTTCCTCAGTGTTAATTGTGCACTTTTAATTCTCTCTTTACATAGGTTTTGGGTGGAGTTAGAACAGACGTTTAGTGGTGCAAATCTTGTTTGTCCAGAACAATAAATTCTTCTTTAAGAGCAACAGCATGCCGTCTTCCTTGGTTATTAACTTAACCAGCATTTTCCCATATTACCCAACTGCTCAAACAGTGCCAGATTCTTAAATTCCGTGTACCACGCCATATATTTGTTTAATTTTGAACACGCTCTGAAAAAGTGAACAATGCAAACATGGCTTCTACAAAAAAGCAAACCCCACAAGGTACGTATTTGGGTGTGTCTGTGAAAACAAATATTCTACAATTAGAATTAAGAATTTTAGAGCTTAGCAAATTCCACTTTCAGCTAGCTAATCTGCATTCATTTCAGCTATGATGATGCAGAAAACGAAAACACTATAAAAATCTAAAAAGGAAACATTTTTAGCTATTTGCAGATTACATAACCAAAAATGAACCACACTTTAACGGGCATCAATCTCAAAGGAAAGGTCTCTTAAACCAGCCCCTTCTGGAAAAAAAAAAAAAAAAAAAAACACTGTTAAAAACTGGATCTGTCACAAAGACTTCAAAGGCTTAACTAAATACCAAAGCAGTTTGCATCAGTTCATTAGCAGGTATCGTTACAGCCTTCCTTTTTCAGCTAACAAGGAATGCCTATAAATGGGCAAGAATCCTTGCTAAGCACAAGAAAAAGCTGTGCTACATACAAGCTGTGGATCCACTTTCGTCACAGACGTCCTCACGCATTGCCAAAGCTTTGGAACAAGGAAAAGGTGTCCAATACATACATAATGAGAAAAGAACTGAATTAATAGAAAAAAAATTTGTTGTAGAAGGTATGAAACACACCAAATTTCTGAAAACCAGAAAACAAAAAAAAAAGATAATCATTCACCCAATCTTAAGTCTGTTCTTCATCAGCTGAGAAAAAAAACTATCGAGTTTATCCACTAAGATTGTATTAGTATATAGCAACATTGAACAATGTAGGATTAGCTGGAACAGCTTACCAGAGCTCTGCTGTTTAGTATCAAAATCAAGATAAAGGAATGTTCACTTCACCTAGGATAATTCCTCCGAAATGACTGCAAAAAGGGCCATTCCTCTCCATCTGAGGTTTTCAGATGAATGTTGACACTTTCTCATTTAAAGGTCAACATTTTAAATAGTCTACAAATCCAGGTCTTTAGTTTAATTTCCTTCCAATGCGGTAAACTTCATAGGATCAAAGGGTGAACTAAATGTGGTATAATTTAAGAAAGGGATTTTCAGATGCAGTATTCTCTTTAAAAGTATTCTCTTTAAAAATAACAGGTTTTACATACTTGTGCAAAATTAGGAAAATACACATTAGCTCCAGTTGAACCCTAAAGTATCTTGGTATTTATCCAGTTGGCGCATGATACCCTTCAAGTTCAATAAAGGAACAATATTGAAATAAAATGAGTTCTACAAATTGATACAAGTCCAGTGCTTCAGATTAACTATGATCCTGTCCCACTAGGCTTGTATTCACACAAAACGGGAGCCAAGATTTGCAAAAAGATTGCCACCCTAGCAGAAATGGAGGACTTGCCTGGTTCCTCATTAAGTCTGAGGACCTGGAATTGGGATGGTCTTGTCTGTATGTAGTTTACCTGGCTTCTAATGGTCTGATGTCTTAATGAAACGGTAATAGAAAAATAATCTTGTGAGGAACAGTAAATAGCAGAGGACAGCTGCTGAAGAAAAAGGAACGCACAAATCTACTGCAACCAGAATTTGAAAAATTTCCCAATTTCTTCTCCTAATACAGTGTTCCCCCAAAAATCCCAGTGGTGTTTACTATTATTTAAAAGAGCAACTGTCACAACAGAAGTTAAATTGGGGGAACTAAATTAAATTTCAATGGGTACAGGGATATTTAATTACATCCAACGGCATGAAAGCAGCATTAATATAAAACAGGTAGGCAATTTCAATTCGTATTTTCTGAAATCATGATTGTTATTAAACTCAGTGTTTCTAAGGACACACAGTATTACCAAACTTTTATGATCTTAAAGCTTTGTCATTTGCTACATGTTTAATATTGTAAAACATGCTCATCAGTACGTACTGGGAAACTTGTAATTACTAACTATTTTGTAATTAAAATAGCATTTTAGCATATGCCTGCATGTAAAAAGATCTTTTTATATTTTCACTGAGGAAGGAATATCCTGTGTGTAGTATTTTTCCTGTAATAAAACTTTCACTCCTTTCCAAATACATTAGCTTTGCAGTCACCCAGACAAACCAACTCGGTCTACAGGCAACATCTGCCCTTCTCTGCTCCAAAGATCACAGATAATCATTCGTACAATAAATCTGCACTTCATAATTGAAAAGCCCACAGTCTGGACTCTTAGAGAAGCCATGCTGGTCCTAAAAAAAACAGGTTGTGAAACGAAGTTTTAGTATGTAAATGCTCTCTTTCACTTTAGCCAGCAACCGCATGCCACACGCAGGGAGCACTGCAAAGCTTTAAGGGCTCCTATGATCTCTTTCACCTGCATTCTAGTTTCTCCCAGAGTCAACCTGCCAGGGAAGACAGGGAACCCTCCTCCTAGCCAGAGAGAGAAACTATCAAGGTCCAGCATAGCTTCTGCCTATACGCGAGCACTTGGTGCCAAGATATTTGGCTAAAAGATAGTTTCAGTTGGGACTGCAACACATACAAGGCCAGCCAGCCACCAACCCACGATCCTGCTTGTCCTAGGCCTTAACCTAATTCAGTTCTTTAATGCCTTTTGCTTTAGCCATTTCCACTCTCTGCTGCGCACTGGTGGCAGAAAGCTCACCCCTCTCAAAGAATCATCTCCTCCTTCGTCTGCCTTTCCATACCCATCCCAAAAGACAGACTTACCTAAAGAAGATTTCTCTAAATAAGCTTTTTCAAGCCTCAGAGTAAGCGCAACATGGTTTTGCTCCCCAAAACTGAAATTAGTGAGAGCCAAAGTTTCTTTTCACTGGATTGCCTAAATACACAAAGGAAACATATACTTTAACAAACCAAAACCAAAAATTTTTTTAAATCAACATTTCAAATATTTTAGATCTATTCAAATAGCTATTCATAAACTTTTAAAAGAGAAACTATCCCACCAAATATTCCTAAAGCAAAATATTGTCAGTACACTGTATCATAATTCAGAGCATCTTCCAGAGTTAAAATTAGAAAATCCAAAAAAAATCTGATAAATTTCCCAATCTCAAGAATTATTACATTCTTATCTTAATTCCACACAAATTATAAACTCCTGCTGTCAATGGTTTATTTGCAGTTGTTTATTAAAAAAAAAAAAGTGTTTGAGGGACACGATTCAGTGACAGTCAGATATAATCAATGTGCCTCTACCCTGCTGAAAAATTCACCAACTGATGTCAGTCATGACACTTAGCACTTTAAAAGAGAAGCATCGAGTTCTTTTATAGTATGTTATGTTTTTTTCTATTCTATTTCTGACTTCGTTCTTTACATCTTTCTTCTTTAGGATTTTTTGTTTTGGGTTCTATTTTGACATGAAATATGGTAAGTAACTCTTGCTCATGACAATGATTCTTAAAAAGTGAATACCCACAATTATTATAAGAGATCTAATCTACCTGGACCCTGCCTAACTCCACTGCTACTTTGCTCCACGCTTAACTAGCCTTATAGACTGTGAAACTCAAATATGTCTCAGACCGCTATGTTGCAGCATTTCCAGATCCTAGGAAATGAGTTAAGAGCAAGATTGAGGAGACAGATATTGCAGTACTAAGATTGCTTTCCTGCAGGAATTACTTACAGGAGGAAGTAGCTGAAAATAAAATAAACAGCCCCATTCACACATACAGCAAAGCCAACCGTATCCCGTAAGCCATTGTTTAAGGGAAGGGATAGCTTTCTAAATAAAAAATTTGATGACTTCCTGAGAAACTTCAGGTTAGGCTATATTCCACAATTAAAAGTAGTCAGAACACAGAAGAAAAACAAATATTCGATTAGATCACATTGGAATTATTTTGTATTTCAATATACATCTGTATAGAGCAGCTCTGAAGCCATATTCTACATTTAATGCTTTATCTAAAGAACGAATTGTAGCACCTTGCATCGCAAGGTGCAGTAAAGACAAAAAAAGGTCTACTCTGAAGTGGGATAATCCTGCTTGCCATTACTAGTCAGTGTTGTCAGGCAGCACATTTCAAAACAGGAGAAGGATGAACATACCAAACAGGTTAGCTGAAAAAACAGACATTAGTCTGTTGCCCAGTTAACTTAGTATTGGTAGCACGTCTGAGAAATCTCCATAGAGCCAAACGTATGCTCAAGCACTTGCAACCAGAACCACGGCAGTAGTTGGCTTCCTTTTCCATAATCCAGTAAGTACAAAATTCATGTAAAATTAAAGCATAGGCTTATATTAGCTGAAGCAGAGAAAGAATTCAAACCACTCCAAACCAGTGGATAGGATAGAAAAATGGTAACGAATAAAATGGGAATAGTAATATATGAGAGGGAATGACTGAGGAAGGGAAAAGAAGTGCCAGGAACTGATGCACCAAAGAAGGCAGCACTATGGACTTGTTTCAAGTCCCCTTGTCCTTCTCTCTACCTGCAAAACAATCACCTGCAAAAGGACTGCACTTTTAAAGTTAGACTATAACACTCTTCTACCAAAATCTCTCTTTCTAAACTTCACGCTTATTTTTTGGTACCTTCACTCTCCAAAGGATGTTGAGTCCACTTAGATCACAATCCAAAATCAAAACCGGCGTCTCCTCCAGCATCCTTTTAAAAGTAGTTGTTCTATCAGATAATCATTTAGAATCAAAGAGCGATATAAACCCTAGAGCTCATCTTTCTCTCACTGTTCTCGTTCCTTCTTCTGGATCTTCTTGTTCTGTACATCAAAAACTATCAGCCTCCACTGTCTCAGCAAGATGTATGGTCTATCCCTTCATTTTACAGGCATACTCTTCCAGCATAAAACTGACTGACTTAACTTTGGAAGAAACAGAGCTGGTTCTCAGGAAAGTCATTTCTTGCACATTTTGTACAGTGAGCTATTGTGAAAGATGTAAGGAAGGCACTAGGACATAATGGGGAAGCCCTGACCAGCCCAGCAGAACAGAGATATGCCTTCCCCTCACCCCCAAAGTCTCCAGGATCCCATCTGGCCTTTACAACTTCCACAGCCTCAACCAACCTTAGCATCCCCACCAACCCGTCTTCAAAGTCTCTTGTAACTACTGCATGATTTTTTCTATTGAACATGGAAGAAAAAAATTAAGGCTCTCAGTTTATAAGCAAGTTTACTGCCACTCAGTGCTTTGCTCTGCTCAGCTCGAAATCCTTTGTGCTCACTGCCTGTTCACCTCTTGTGGAAAGTTGAGCTTTTCATCCTGAAGAACTGCCTGGTGCTGCCCAGCTCCGTAACTCCAGCTCCCAGAACAAAGCCAAAAGATC